ATCCCAGCATAAACACTTCAATACCGAAAATCAAAGCAGGCATTTTCTTTCGGTATCCAAGCAACAAAACAACCGTACAAACATTATAAACCTTTCACCAATTTCCAGCGACCTGCCCACGTTTTTTCGCATGTCTTCTTTTTTGAAATGTTCTGAGCACAAAAAAATTGATTTTGTGATGAAGAATCCGTCCTTTCCATGCTGGCGATTCAGGAGATTGCACCATCTGATTCACTGCTGGAAGTCATTCGGAAACTAGAAGAAATGCAGACCTGTTGGATTGCCTGCTGTGTCATAATAGCTATTAGCACAACCAAAAAGCGGCACAGTGTCTTCCTCTTCCTTTCGAAGAAGAAGGAGGAATATCCTGCGTAGGGAAAGTATCGTTCACTGTCGAAATATCACGATGAAAAGGACAGAGCACCACAACATTTCACTAAACTCTCACTAGAACTCGCAACGCGACTCAACACTAACCTCGCTATCATGTTTGCGCGGTTACACATTCAATATGGCGCCGGGAACTGTAAAAAGGACTATTTCACAAACCTAGTACCTAGATCCCACGGTCAAAAGTAATGCATAACAATATGAGCCCACTGTACCTCAATTCTGCGGTTCTGTAACACAATGTAAGATGGCGGCTCGCACAAGGTGAACGAGATCTACTTATTCTTCACAATATTCTCAGTTTCAGCAGAAAGGTGTCACGTTTTTAAGATATCAGCTAACTTTTCCTCTTATTGCTTGCATTACAGAGCAAACTTTGGCTGGTTACTTAGGAAATGTGTCTTCCTAGATATCTCTTCCACACCACGGTTATGGACATCGTTTATCTGTAACAAACTAAACTTATTTAGTTCTGTGAGTAGAAAAGTCAGGTAAGCTTAGTTTGAAAATTTTCTGCACTTTTTGCCCAACGTGCAATAGAAGGGAGACACCAAACAACTAATTGAAGATTTGGGTTCTGTCCTGGTGTACCGGTTCACAAGGGAATTACCATTGTTCTTTCTTTGTTTAGGAGTTATCGGTTAGCTATTGTGTATTGTTTGGTCTTTTGTATTGGCTCTTGTGAACCGGTACACGAGGACAGAACCAAGATTTGTGCGTCGCATACAGTACTGATCGGTTCATGAAATCTGGACGTGTCGATATTTTTGATACTTGATAGAAAGTGAACGTAATCGTGACATTTTACCATTGCCAAAGCCAGTCTAAAACCATTAATAAGTTTGAAGTTGGTGAGTGTTGCAAAAACTCAAGTTGTAATTTCCTGTCGACATTTTCGTTTAGCTAGTTCTCAGAGATATCTTCAGATGACCACTGGGTTATTGTCGAATCCTGTAGAATTAGGCAATTCCGGTACTGTTCTAGTTTCCCTTTGTGTGTTGGGGGCCATGTGCTTTAGAGCCTGGCATATTGTTTTGGAATGGTTCCATCTTGATGTTAAAGCCAGGTTTATTACAAATCCCTGAAAAAGTTATCAGCTTGATGAAAGGTTTGCTTTTGTATTAAACTGTGTATATAATAGCAGAGCATTAATAAAAACAAATATTGATTCTTTCCCTTGCAGTTCCTGTAGTGCAACAATTAGCCGGATTCCAAAAAAGGTATATCCTCGCAAGTACAAGGTCAGGCTTGTCCAACCAGATGGTTCCTCTTTCTTCATAAGATACGATAAGCCTTTAAAATTAATAATGCAACCAATCAACCCGACGGAAATGACAGAGGAAGAGAGGAGAGCAAGAATGAAGCGATTAAAACCTGAAAAGCCAAAGAAAATTTATGAACTTGACAATGAAGATGATGGCCATGATCAGAGATCATGGGCTAATTTAATGAAGAAAAAACCATGAGAGTCACACAATAGCTGGATTATTTGTAATTTCACACCAGGGCTGGTCTACTGTACTGCCATAGACACATTGATATGAAAGGTCTCTTCAACAATCAGTTCTGTGTTATTTGTTTATAATTTTCAGTGAATTCAAACAAGCTTAATTTTTTGTTACATGTTCTATCCCACAAAATAGGTGTGATTTTGGCATGTGGGTGCTCAATATTTTCTTGGTGAAAATTATAGCTGCCATCCATGATTTTTACAGTAGTAGATGGCTGAGGAAAAAACAAAATTTGTACATGGGGGGTGAGTAAGGGTCAAAAGGAAGGAGCTGGAGGGATAGGTCAATCCTGTCTATTCCAACTTTGAATCAAACCTAGGGCAGCCAGATAAATGATTACGAACTTAAATGATGATGGTATTGACTCATCCTACCATTAGACACTTACACTGCAGGCTAGACATGCCTGTCACATGGGAAAACATTTCAATAAAGGGAATTTAAAAGGAAAGTTGTCACTGCCACTTATTTCCAATCCTATCTGCCAGGACTTTTCAGCTGGTATGTCCCTTATTCTGGACACAATCCAAACACACAGTCATACTGATAGCTATTGTGAATTTTCAAGGTAATGTATCAGCTAATATGAACTAGGGAGAGGTTTCAACCATTTTGTATGCTTTTTAACAATGAGTGAGTGCCACCTTTACCATGCTTGTGATTAAATAGTTTTCAATGAAGTGTTGAGAGGTATTTATACATGGTTACACCAAGTTTGGTTCTCTTTGCCATATAATTGCTCTGTAAAAGTACTACTCGATCAATCAAATGCAAGGGTAAATTCTTTTATAACCCGGTGACTTACATTTGAGGGTGTTCATTTGAACATGCTGCTGCTTTTCAATTTTAAAAGCCTTCTTTGATACTGTACTCCTTGTTTTTCTGTTTGGCCATTTTGACTTTTGTAGTACCTACCGGTAAATGATAATTGCTTTACACAAGTGACTACTTCAGAGGCTAATATATAAACTTAAGGGAACTGACTTGACATAACTCAGTAGTTATATAATATAGTATCAACAATATTACAAGAAAGGATGATAATTATTTTTTCTTTTTAAACAATTTTATTGTTGTGTCTCAAGTTTGGCAGACTATTGTAGCTTAGAGGCATGATAAAACTCAGACAATGCAGCAGTTTCTAAAAGATTTAGATGTCAAGTGGCTATTTACAACTCTGCACAAGCATTGGAGAGACATTGAGACTTTCTACTAGTGTAAGGCCAAAGATTTAAGTCTTTAAATGTTGTTCAATGTTTTCCAGGGAGGTCAAGTTCTCTTTTTGATCACTGAAGGACCTACATCACAACATTCTATTTTTGACAAAATAATTATGTTGGAAGAGTCACATATAATTCACAAAATGAGGTCACTAGAATAAAGAAAATTATCACAAATTAAAGAAGCTTTTGATTGTTAAACAAATTCTCCTTGTTAGCACCTTAGGAAATGTATAGAGAACAGTATGGAGAATATGCATACTGATGCTGGGTTTACAGGGTTGATTTTTCAAATCTATTCTGATCTCTTCCATCCCTGACTTCCCCTTGTTTCTTTTCGATCCTCACCTCTTTGGTGTTTGCTTACCCTCACAAGTTATTACTGAAAATTATTAGGTAACTCTTATTTTAACTTGGAAGATATGGAACCTTATGGTTAGTGAAGTGGACCCTAGGTCAAGAAATCAGGTTTTGAGACCCGGATGGATTACGGTGTTATGTTCTTCATCAAAACACTTTCCTCTTGCAATGCCTCTCTCAATGCCAGCCAGGAGTATGCCTACTCTTAGTTGCTCCAAGTTGTGGTGACCAGAATAAGCTGCGGCTTCATGGGCCATTTGGTTGGAGTATAGACTTGACCTTTACTCAACTGTTAACTTTTTTTGAAATCTAACGATTTTTATTGACCCCCAAATTTACTCACAAATGTTACGATGAAACTTCTTCGACTCAGTTGTATATTCAACATGATTTCACTCTGCTCTTTCCACTGTGTTTTTCTCTCTTACGACCACTTTGCGACTTTGGCCTTTTATTCTCATTTTCAAGGTCCTTCTAACATGACCTGCTTATCAGACAATACTTTGTTTTGTTACTGCTTCTCAGACGTCACTTCCGCTTTCACCAAATTCTCAAGTTGCTCTTGGGAGCCCGCAAGAGAACCGACTTTGTTGTTTAGCTTCACATCATCTGTTAGTGGTGTGATTATTCTGTTGTTGTTTTCACCCTCCTTTGAGATGTCGTTTTCTTGCAATGGGATTTTAATGACAGATCTCTTAACAACAACAACAACATTTATTTAAACACGATAAAACTTACAGCAGAGCTGATGTGGTCGTGTATTTGATAATCAACCTAATTAACCTAATATGGTCGTGTATATAAAAATTAACCTAATTAATCAGTTAACCTTATTTAAAATCAACCTAATTAACCTAATACGGTGGAGTATTTAAAAATTAACCCAATTAATTAAAAATTAATGAAAATATTATTCATCTATAAATTTAACTAAGCGTATGAGGTTTTGTGTTTTAGAAAATTTATAAATAAGCTTTTGCTTGAGATTGCACGCTTATGAATGTCAAGAGAATTCCATAGAGATGCGGCCTTGTAACAGGTGGAGTTACGAAGAACTTCAGTGTTTGGTTTTGGTAGTAAACAGGTCAATTTCCTACGCAAGTTATAGTTACACTCATATTTCGTAAACAGCTTCATAATGGGAGCGGATAAAAAGTTATAGAAACAGTCATGTGCCAAGACAAGTAATCTATGTTCGTATAAATTTTTAACAGTGTGCCACTTGCATTGGGCTGAGACCAAATCACTAGGTGTGTACCAATCGAGGCCATAGATGGTCTTTGCGGCACGTACATGTATCCTCTCTAGCTCATCAAAGGGCGATTTGCCGCAGGAACTCCATACAATCAACCCATGGGTAACAGATGGTAGAATTACTTTGAAATAAATATCAGCTCTCGCTGTAGTAGGTAAGAAATAAAAGGACTTAAGAAGGTTCAACTTTTGTGAGAAGGACTTAATCAACTCTTTTACGGACTTAATCAGCTCTTCACTTTCTTCAGCTACTTTTCCTCAGAATCAGCAGTATCACTCTTTTTTATATCTGTACCTCTGTTTAAACTGCTGATTCTCTTTTTAAATCTGCTTTGTTTCACGTCAGTTTGTTTTTGTTTCATACATCCTTCCAAGTTTCCAGTTTTTTTAATATTCCCAGTCCCCTCTTTCACTTGTTGGCGGTTGTGTACAGATACAGACATGTGATACCCTTCCACTGAAAGCTCATCAACTCTTACTTCAGTACCAGCGTCTGCTCCTCCAAGTACTTTTCCGCGTGACTTCTTGAAATTAATTTCATTTTTGACGGGTGATTCGTGTAATTTGCTTTTGGTTTTGGGTATGGCTTGTCGTTTTCTATGTACAAGAGTTTGATGTGACCTTTTCTTAATTGTGTTCTTTGCATTTTCAACCCTAGTGACTTTAACCTCTTCAGTTTGCACAGTGGAGTTTGGTACACTAGAAATTTTCTTTGTTGATTGCGGAGAGACACATGAATTTTTCTCCTTTTTGTTATTGATTTTCTCTTTAGGTTTTTCTTTTGCGTCTTTTGATGTTTGTTTTATTGCCTTTTCTTTTCTCTCCTTCAAAGTCTCACCTTTTCTCACTTCCGGTCTACCTATGATATCGTTGGTATAAGGGTACCCTTTCTCAGTATTCTTCTTCGTTTTCTCGCAGTCTGCCTTAACCACTTTCAGTTCCTTCTCCTTGTCCAAATCATACATAATTCTGTCAAGTAGAGCTAATTCTCCTTTGGTTGGAGCAGAATAAAATGTCCACGGTCCAAGATGTCGAAGAACTTTACTTGGAAAATTTGCGGTGTATTTCCTCGGAGGTGGATCATCTGAGAACAAACGGTCATGCACAGTAGCGTCCTCTTTTTTCACCACGGTCAGCGGTGGAAGAAGATTTAACACGTGATCGCGGCGTGAAACTGCACGTGATCGTATGGGGGTTGTCGTTGAAAGTGCCATGAGCGCATATGAGAATAAAGTTTACCGTACGTGAATGGAAAAATGCCTAAAATCAAGAAAATGAAGCGTTGGATTCTTTTTTTCTTCACGTAAAAGTCAGATACCGTTATTTCTTTACTGCTTTATATTAGATTTTCCTTACTTGTGGAAATGAGATGGTTGTTATTTGAAAACTTTATACAGTGCCTTAGGTTAGCCTCAATGAAATTTAAATTTACCACAAGGAATTATTTTTTTGCTTAGGGGCTGAGAGGACCAGATTGGTCAGTTAACAAAACTGACTATTCTTTCAGTCGATTCCATAAATGATTCTTGACTGTAGGATGCATCAGTTATAAATGACAAGTTCAATAAGTTCCTTCGGTTTAGAATCTAAGAGCAAGACAGTTTTTACCAAGGAGATTTGTTAAGGCAATGAAAGAAAGAAATAAACATAATGGAAAAAATTTATTTACCCAACCCAACCGAGCCTTTTTAAAGTAATCATCGACGAAATTCGCTGGTTTAGATGACTTTACCAGAGCGCATTGCTAACTTATGTATTGGGCCAAGGAACTGAAAAGGAGAGAAATTATACCCTCTAACACCATTTTTTTTCGAAAAGTCCCGTTGGCAAGAATATATTTTGATAGACGCATATAGTGAACAATACTATCTTCACAACTGCACTGGCCAAAGAAAACTTGCCAGTGTAGATATGACATCATTGCCAAAACTTTCACAAAATTCGTGACCGTGATTGGTTTATCAGTAGCTTGGTTTGAGCATTTATAGAATAGCGTGCACGACATGCTTGTGGTTAGACAGCGTAATAGGACAGTTCATTTCTCATACTTGTGTAATTGGACAGTAAGTGTCATTAGGACGCACTGTTTTATCGATTACTGGAGTCATTCTCCTTTTTTAATAAAAACTGTTATTTAAAAATATGTTTCATCAAGAAATAAACCGAGCTCTCAGGTTAAACCCTCTTGGTTTGATTAATGGCAATTTTTCCTTTAAAATCATCTCTTAGTTTGGTAACGGGGCTTTTAGTTGTACAATGATTTTGATTATCTCTGTTATAAAACTCAGTACTGATCATACCATTTCAAGGGGGAAAGTTTCTAAAGAAACTGTGCTGCTGCGTCGTGGGAGATATCACAAGATAATTTGGTTTATCAGCTTAGTCAGACAATTTTGACTGCCTGCCACAGAGTTGTTTCATCAAAGCGAATGGGGACGGGCATATGCTCGAAACGTTAGCTTTAGAAACTCTACGGTCATTAATTTATATTATCAACTCAGTTGATGAAACCAAATTATTTTATAAACATATTCGTGATTTTGTCGATTATGAGTAATTAAGATTTAGATTAAAGACCGAATTCAATTCCACTCAGACACATTTCTAATTGGTTATATCGGCCGTCGTCCAATATATTTCGATTATACCCTGTCCAGGCCTACAGTTCCGTAAAACACGAAAAAGACAACGAGGTCTAATATCAGAACAAGTTTCCATTCCTAACTCGGAAAAAGCTTTCGCTGACTCAAACACAAGCATATCATATATAATAATGGGGGGTTTTTACCATAGTTAACACCTGATGATACATTGATTTTAGTAGAATTTTCCGGTTGATTATGACATTAAAAGAGAAATTTCATCATATTCGTGACTTTCAAACGGCATTAAAGACTGTAGCTATACTTCACATAGAGAGAGCTCCTTCTACCTACCGTTTTAAACTTGTGCGTAATATCCTTGACAACAGCTACCTTACGTGTTGCAGTCGCAAAGGGTTTTAGGCAATTTTAGAAAGATAGTGCAGTTAGTGGCTCTTTGCGCAAATTTTGCCATTCATGGTAAGGTAAGAAAAGCCTCCCAAAGGTTATAAACTTTCCTTTTTGCGTGAAGCGTGTGAGAAAAGTTCAGAGCCCCCAAAGGAAATATAAACATCTGGGCTCATTTGACAACAAATAGTGATGCTAGCGACAGGTTTTCCCAAGTGTAAATTTCATTGTGTCAGATAAAGTTCCATTGTGTTTTGTTAAGCTAAGTTAAATAACGCTTCGGCTTAAGGTATTGAAGAGTTCTTTTGTGTTTCCTGATGAGGAATTAGTGGCGGGTAATTTGTGTTGTGTTAATGACGTATTTAAGAATTGTTTTATCACAAGATGAATTTTTAATGTTCAATACATCTTGATTCTTGTTTGTTTGATTATTTTTCTTTCCTGATCTTCTGAGTAAACCCATATACTAGTGAAAACTCGTGTAAAATTCCTCCGAACAAAATCGCGTTATTACGTGAGGTGTTGGGAAATCATCGCACTCGGTAGTTAATTCTTGACTCGAGTGAGCCTTCCTGTGTATTCTTTGTGAATCTCAGAAGACAATAACGAAAAGAAAAGAGAGGTATGACGTCACCCATACCTCTAGAAGTTTTGTGACACGATGGTTCCTTCGCCCGCTAGTAAAGAAAAGTCCTTGAGCAAAGTGAGCCGGCGAGAGATCTGCGAGGGAACAGGCTCATTATTAGTGCCAGGCCACTCGCAGACCTCTCACCAGTTGTTGATGCTCAAGGCTTCAAAGGTATTCGCGGATGAAGAAAAGCTCCTAACATAACAAGAGTTTGTTCGCGGCTTATTTATTTGCTGCACTGCACGCAAGATGATTTCTGTCTTGCGGATTATCTTAACGACAGTTTACTTAATCCTTAGTGCACTCGGTACCGGACAGTTGATTTCTTTAAAATAATAACAGACTTAATCAACTGGGCTAAATCAAGTTTCGACTCTGCACTTGATAAGAAAGGAAAATGAAAAAGAAAAAATCCAGTGCTTAAATTGATTGCCATACAAAATCTAAACCATTAGTTGGGAAGCGAAAGCAAATTTACATTTTTGGAGTAGACATAACATCCTGTTCTCACCATGGTGCACTACTATTTTTTGAATAATGTTAAGAATTTTGATGTTCGTAGATAATCAGTCCAAGTGACTTCGCAAGAAGTGTTCAGCCGATCTGCAAGCAGTGTTTGCGTCAGGAGATCCGCGTAAACCGAAAGTTTTGTAGTACAGTGCGGTTTTGGATTGTATTTTAACCCCTGTTAAATCACTGTCAAACCATCTTGAACTTAGTCCCGAGGAGTCTTGCCGTTTGTAAGTCATAATTCATAACCATCGACTACGAAAACAAAAACGCCATTCGGCGTGAAGATATCTTCTCGTCTAAGCGTACATAAAAACTGGATTGGTATCAATATAGGAAGGGCCTTTTCTAGTGCAGAGGCCTTGTAGAATACGGTAAATGAAGGGCTGTTTTTACAGCTCGCGCTCGTTTGTGGTTCAGGTTTGATAATCAGTGCCGAGGGTGGCCCTTCGACTAAATTTTCACAAGCGACGAAAAAAATAGGGAAAGCCTTTTTAACCGTTATTGAGACTTGTTTTGACGCGGCCAGCATTGTTAGAATTCGTTATTGTAAGCTACAAGTGTCAGGTGATTGGTTTAAAATGCAGATCAGGAGTAATACGATTGCTTTTCGCTTTCCGACTATCTTTCGATCTTTTGATCGATCCGCTTTAAATTGCGGTAGCGTCGATGGAAGGAGGAAGTTGGATGTATTCTTGACTCTTTTACCTTCACAGGGATTTCTTATGGCCTTCCAAGAAACTGTCATAACAACTCTATTGATTTTGGCGTTCTCAAGCACAAATTCAGGTCTGTAATATTTTTTCTTGCGGTAATTCAGGATTTATTTATTAAAATTCAAGTTAGCTGGAAGATAAATTTCGTTTTCTAAGGCCACTTGATACAATCGAAAGATTGAAAAATGAAATTAAATTAGAGACGATATTTTAGCTGTTGAAGATATTTAACCAGCAATCCATTCGTGTTGTCAGAATGCCAGGGGCACCCAAATTCAGGTCTGTAATATTTCAATCATGAAATATTACTCGATAAATTGAACTTTTACGGTTTCCGTGGATTGATAAATGACTGGTTTCAATCATATTTAAAAAATAGAACACAAACAATTCAGATTGGAGAGCATTTATCAACAAAACTTATCTCCCCCTGTGGTGTCCCCCAGGGATCAGTCCTTGGACCTCTTCTATTTTTACTTTACATAAATGACATTCACCTTTGTTCTGATAAACTAAAATTTTATCTCTTTGCGGATGATACTAATATACTTTATGCTGATAAGAATCTTAAGGCGATCGAGCAAACGGTTAATGTAGAGTTGAATAACGTACATGACTGGTTAACTACAAATAGGTTGACATTGAATACAAAAAAATCAAATTTCTTAATTTTTCGTCCTCATCAGAAAAAAATGCATTTTTCTCCACAAATAGGTATTTTAGATTGTGAGACAAACCGAAGAGTTAGTTTAGAGCAAAAAAGTTATATCAAATATCTAGGCGTTTTAATTGATCAAAATTTGTCATGGAAAAACCATGTTGACTCTGTTATCGTAAAAATAAGTAAAACAATAGGGATGATTGCAAAGCTGAGGTACTTCGTTCCCTCTACTATCCTTGTAAATATTTACAATTCATTAATTCTACCTTATATAACTTATGGACTCCTTGCCTGGGGCAATGCGTCAAATGCTTATTTAAACAAGATTTTAGTTCTTCAAAAGCGAGTTTTGCGCTTAATCTATTTCACCGATCGAAGAGAGCATGCCATCCCTTTATTTGCCAAAGCAAAAATTCTGCCTGTTACGTTCCTATATTATGAAGCCGTAAGTAAACTTATGTTTGACGTGCACAACCAGAGGGCTCCCATTAATATTTTGAAACTATTTACTAAAACATCTCATATTCATACCTACAATACTCGATCATCCAAATCGCAGCTCTTTAGTACAAAGTACTCTAGACTTAACCTACAAAAAAAGGCTTTCTCGCGTGTTGGTGTCAAAATTTGGAATAAGATACCGAAAGAATTCAAAACGTTATCAAAACATTCCTTTAATAAACAAATTAAAACGTCTTTATTTCAGATACTAGATAATGAAGATTCTTATCTTGATGTTGAAAAGATCTCCTCTAAACTTAAGGACTGCATAATTAAAACAAATTGATCCGATTGCTTTCAGTACTAATGTATTTGCTTCTATACTTTATTGAACAACTATTGATGTATTTGCCAGCTATGCTTCTTTTTATAATTTAACAATATCTAATTATTTAGTTTTTAATTTTCTTTATATATTGTAAATAATGTTTGTTGATGATTGACCCGCCTCGAATAGCAAATTTGCTATCTGCGGGCCAACATAATCTAAATTATTTTGTAAGAAAAAGAAAATAAAGTGTGTAAGTGTAAGTGTAACAACATTCTCTCGACAAAATCTTTACTAAAATCGGTTTAGACCGTAGGTTTACTTCCGCAATCAATATTGTGAAATGATTAAAATAACTTTGAGCAAACGATATCATATACGTCGATGGGTGCCCCTGGCATTCTGACAACACGAATGGATTGCTGGTTAAATATCTTCAACAGCTAAAATATCGTCTCTAATTTAATTTCATTTTTCAATCTTTCGATTGTATCAAGTGGCCTTAGAAAACGAAATTTATCTTCCAGCTAACTTGAATTTTAATAAATAAATCCTGGATTACCGCAAGAAAAAAGAAAACGATTATATCAAATAGCCTGAAAATGTTTCATAGAGGAATAAAATACCCCGAGTCGACTTCATTAGTATTCGCAAGGTAATTGGGTAATATCAGCTAAGTTATTGTAAATTGGTCACCGTAGAGAGTTCAAAAGCTGACGTTTCGAGCGTTAGCCCTTAGTCATTCGCTCTGACGAAGGGCTAACGCTTGAAACGTCAGCTTTTTAACTCTTTACGGTGGCCAATTTACAATAACTTAGCTGATATTACCCAATTACCTTGTTACCCTCACCGACGCAGCACCACAGTTTCTTTAGAAACTTACCCCCTTTATTCATTAGAATTTGCAATATTGGTTTTTGTGGAGGGGAGGGATGGAGGATTAACGGAGAGAACCGGGAGAAAAACCTTCCACAACCAGCATCAATTTACAAATACCGGAAAGACCCTTGTTTTTGTATTTAGGTTTAAGCTTTAAGCGAGAAATTAAAGGAAGATATACCATGATTGCTCTCAATGTCAATGTATTCAAGCAGTGCTATCATTGAAACAGAAAAAGGGCGCCAAAAGGAGTAACGAAAAACAAATTCAAGGGGGGCGCTAATCAGAGAGGGGACGCTTATTGGAAAGAGAGCGCCAAATCAAATCATTATGGTAACTACGCACTTAGGAATCGAAACTTGACCAAAGCCATGGAAGGTGAGCGTTGGCTCTGCTCCAAAAAAGAGTTAGTCCTGAAGAGAGCTGAAATGTGAGACAAAGCGAAATCATTTGCCTCAACGGGTCCAAATTGTCGGTGGGCGAATAAAACTAATTTAGAATGTAGTGACAAGAGAATATCAACTGATGTTCTCTTGGAAGTGAATGTAATCATGCGAGCCCTTCCCGCGATTATTACATCATTGTTATTGAGGTAAGAAAATGAAAAACCCTTACGAAGCAGATCCTTTATAGTGATTTGGCCCGAAGCAAAATTTAGCTACGTAATGACCCAAGCTCTCTCTGGGACAAGCTACGATTTTATTTAACCGACAAATCTCGCTTAAGAGGTTTTTTTTTTACAAAATGCAACTAGTTTTAGAGCAACTATTAGTAGATGACTTTTTTCCCAATTCTAATGATCCAGGAGCAACCCTACCGAATGTTTATGTAACTCGTCACGGGATTGACTCTGAGACTTGTGGTAGCAGAAGTCAGCCATGCAAGTCCATTGTTCAAGCGATTGAAAGGGTTAGTTTTGGTGGATTCATCTATCTAGACGGGCAAGGAACCACAGAACATCCTTATGACTGTTCCAGCTGCAATACATCAGTGGCTTGTCATCATGGTATTCATGTTACCAAGAGCCTGACCATCAAAGGGACATTCTTTCCACACGTTTTCTGCGTCAAAGGATTTCATTTCCAGTGGACGGTTGATGAGCAACAAACCTTGACGTTTGAGCTTTCAGGAATCCATTTTTGGCAGACTCCATTTACATGTAAGGATTGCAGTAGCATCGTGATCCATAACTGTTCTTTCCGCAATACTGCACGAAATTTTATAATTGAAACACAGAATATATCCTACGTTCAATTAGTTGTTCAAGGCGACTCAGTATTTCACAATAATTCTCAATGCTTCGAGCTCTTGTTGTTCGACAGCGGTGGAAAACAAAATCGTTTCCTTGAAGTTAACATCACTAACACAAACTTTGAAGAAAATGGACTTTATGGACAGAAAGATAAAAGAGGAGGTATGAAGATAATGTCCGTTGCAAAAATGGTGCTCAATCCGGTATATATTTCTATCTTTTGCAGAAAAACTAAGTTTTTCAGTAATCGAGGTCCTTTTATCAGTGTCAACGTTCCAACTGCGGTAACGAACGAGACTTACAGAGATGTAGAACTTCGTTACAACGGCTTTCATCCCAAAGACTTTTTTCTAAATCTAGAGCCAGAGGTTCCTCCGCATGAGCGCAGCTTGTTCTTTTCACTGTCGTGGGAGACAAGAGCTAAGTTCATCGGGTTAAATTGCCTTGATAACAAGAATGTGCTTTGCATTCAAGTTGTGTCTCCCATTGCTGATATAGACATACAAGATTCCCAGTTTCGCTACCTGCAGGCAACGAGGTGCAAAGGTTCAAGCCTATCGCTAGCGGCTTATATAAACGCATCTTTGAGAATAACGAACTCCTTCTTTTATAAAAATACAGCATACACAGGAGGATCGCTTTTTGTCAAGGCCCCCAAAGATTTCCTGAAAATTGACCTCGCTAACGTTACATTTTCTCATTGCAGAGCAAAGATAGGATGCGTAATATTCATTGGAACTACTAAAATTCGTAACCAATCTGATGCACACAATTTATTCCTTAACTTTAGAAATGTAACTGTTGAACGGTGGAAAGGGTTGAACCACAAATGTGTGGCAGTTGAAGTCTTGCTTAAAAATGGAAACATTGACATAGAGCGGTCCACGTTTAAAAGGAAGACAAGAACAACTGTGGGTGGTGCTTTGCGAGTGATTACCACGTACGGTAAGACTAATGTGACAATTTCGAAATGCATTTTTGAGGACATTGCTGTGATAGCAAGACAAGGAACCTTTCTCCAAATACTAGCCGGGAGTGGTAATGCCGGCATGGCAATGATTTCGGACAGCTTGATAGTCAGCAATTTAAGAAAAAAGAAAGCCCTAATGATAAGTCCCAAATACCGCATCAAGTTGGTGAATGTCACGTTAAACTCTTTTAAAATCGGATTGCACATAGAATCATCACCTCCCAAAAACTGCTCATTTCCGATTGATATCATCATTGAAAACTGTTCTTTTCTCGACAAGATTTATGATGCGATATTCGTTTTATTTGATCCTACATCAGTCAAGTTACTCATCAGAAACACTCACTTTATCAGTAGTAACGATACCGTACAAATCTACCAAAGTAAGAAGAACTATGCAATTCACCTTAATATTCCACCACTCAAAAACATTATGTCCTCAAAGGCAGTCGTAGAACTTGAAAATAACATTTTCCACTTTAGACCACCCAGTTATTTCTCTCTTCTGTTTGAGGGGAAGAAAAATGTGCCAATAAGGCGCTCGCACTTTCGTAATTGCATCAGTGCTCATGGACGTCAATGGATCAATAAAGATTCAGGATACCTTTATCAGAAAGTAACTGGCGCAATTTCTGTCTTGTTAAGTCCAGATAAACCTCAGCGTTTGGGCTGCGTGAATTCAAATAGTAGTCAGGAAGTACATCCTTCATGGAACTACAGCAGTAGGGTGCTGTTTGAGGATACAATCTTTGAAGAAAACTTTGGAGTGGCAGTTGGTGCTGTCTACATCAGTAATGGTTTCACGATATTCCGAAGATGTATCTTTCGTGACAATTTTGGCGTTCAACAGGCTGGACATGTCTACAGTACGTATGGAACTGGTAGAATAGATTTTTTGGATTGCTTATTTTTCCGAACAAAGCAAGACGTGACCATAAGCAACGTGACCACATCAAAGACAGGCACATTCATTTATTCTCAAACCGCAGGTCCACTAAAGCTTGTAAACACATCTATGATCTCACTGATCGCAAATAGGAGCACTTACCCAATTCTTGATATCTCTAGTGGAGGATTTGTTGATATGGACGAAAACTGTGAAATAAAATGCAGCGAAGGACAAAATCTTCTTTTCGAAAATAATACACATTTTCTTTACACGGAAAAAAATAAGCGCTCATGCGTACTGAACGTCACTGTTATGAAATATTCTTGCCGATCCTGCCCTCCTGGTTATTACGGCCTAAAGAAGGGGATGTCGCGAGGATTAGCTGTGACACCTTTTGTTCATTGTCTGCCATGTCCATTTGGGGCTATCTGTATTGAAAACAATATTGCCGCTAAGCCCAATTTTTGGGGTTATCAAACGTCTGGACATCCTCAGTCGCTGGAGTTTTTAGCCTGTCCGGAAGATTACTGTCCTTCAACTACTACAAAATATTACAACAGTTGCCAGGGGAACAGGAACGGCACCCTGTGTGGACAATGTGCAAAAGGTTTCACTGAAACTCTTTTCTCGACCGAATGCCGCAATTCAACAGAATGCAGCCACTTCACTGTGTGGATCGTAACAATGGTGCTAACAATCGCACTAGCGCTCTACCTTTTGAAGAAGCCTCCGATACTTTAATAG